TTCTGGTTAGCAGTCAAGTGCTTTGGCCACTATGCTTCCAGAGCTCCTTAACAACAACAACCCCCACAATGGTACTATGCAATTTATTTGCATTATTAGCAAGCTATCCAATCTACTTGGTGGGTCACAAGCACCTCACATTTGCATATGGGGCAATCTACTTCCATAGTGATACTACCGTGGACACCCAAGGAGGGGTCGCTATGAGTTGGGTCTGACTCAACAGCACATAACAACAACAACAACAACAACCCAATCATAGGAGGTCTGGTGGCATAGTGCCTAAGACATTTTACTTCTAACCAAAGGTTGGCAGTTCAAACCCACCATCCACTCCATGGAAGGAAGATGGGGCAGTCTACTTCTGTAAAGATGTACCGCCTCGGAAACCCAATGTAGGTCGCTATGAGTTGGAATCGACTTGATGGTAGTGAGTTTGGTTTGGTTTGACCCAGTCATTTGGTGGGAGTTACAAAGACCATGGCCAAGCAATTCATTGTACCACAGTAGCAAAGCTCTAAACAATCTGAAATGAAACATAAAGCTCTGAAAATCAAGGTTTATCAAGGACAATCTGGAAAGCATATTAATAGTATTCAGTTTCTTCTAAATATCTTCTGTATATCCTTGTCATTTTGTATTTAAGTAAGTATGGATCTTGTTAGATTGCAAAGGCGAATGCATATAATTATATTATTTTTAGTTATTACTATTGTTTTAATATTCCGAAACTTCAAATTTTGAACAATATTTTTTTCAGGTAAATGGTCTTAAAATGGTTGATGAACCAATGGAAGAAGGAGAAGCAGATTCTTGCCATGTAAGTACTCTTCTTTTTAATGCTTTGTCGTTGTTAAGAATATACACAGCAGAACATAAACCAATTAAACCATTTCTTCATGTAAATTCAGTGACATTGATTACATTCTTAAAGTTGTGTAACCGTTCTCACCCTCCTTTTCCAAGTCATTCCTCCTCCATTAACATAAACTCACTGCCCCTTACGTTTCCTATCTAATCTTTCTAGTTGCTATTGTTAGTTTGATCTCATATAAAGAGCAAACCCACTGACATTGAGTCAATTCCAATTCTTATGGACTCTCACTGACTTTCCAAGGCTGTCAATCTTTATGGAAGTAGATTGTCTCATCTTCCTCCCACAGAACAGCAGGTGGATTTGAACTGCCAACCTTCTCGTTAGCAGCCAAATGCCTGACCCACTATGGCACCAGAGCTCTTTATATGATCTCATATAGATATGTCTTAAAGAGCAAAATGCTTACGGCAGACATTCTTTACTAGTTAAGCTAAAGTATTGTTTGGTTTTAGGAAGACTTCAGGGGAAGTTTTTCATTTAAGGAATAAACATTATCTTAGGGCAGTAGTTTAAAATTTCATTCTGCTTCTAGGCTCTAGAAGGTCTGGAGTAAGTGAGAATTTAAAATTGTGTTACACATTTTTTCCCTTTGATCAGGATCCTTATGTAAAGACTTTGGTCAAAATGTTCAGTAATAGTAGCTAGGCACTGTCCAGTTCTTCTGGTCTCTTGGTGAAGGAGGTAGTTGTTTATGGAGGCAATTAGCCACATCTTTCATTTCCTCTTCCGTTTCCTGATTCACCTCCTTCCTCTGTTGCTCAAGAGACCAATTATTATACCTTGCATGGCCGCTTGCAAGGTTTAAGATCCCAGGCACTATAAAACAAACTGGGAGGTAGAACAGAGCATTAAACATGTTAGTCTGATTATCTGGGGTATCCCATGAAACCATGACCCTAAACCTCAAAAGCAAGGAACTAGATTTCATGAGGTATTTGGTTGTATATAAGCAGCCTCAGCAGTGACCCTATTTTTCTGTGTGTGTGTGTGTGGGGGGCGGTCTTTGTTGTAAGTATATTTGTCACAGATGTTTTGCCAATTAAACTTTTTACAGGTGTGTACTTATTGACAACAGTTACATTAATTGGCTTTGCACCCTTACCCTTAATCAATATGATTTTTTCATCACTGTGCGCTGAAACATTATGCCATAAGTAATAAACCCCTCCCACCCCTGGGAAACACTAATGTACTTTGGTGTCTATACATTTACCTGTTGTTGTATTTAATATAAACGAAGTCACACAATATTTGTCCTTTGTTATTGACTTATTTCACTCAGCATAATGTCTTCAAGCTCCATCCATATTTGCATATATCAGGACTTTATCTTACTACTTTATTGAGTAGTATTCTATTGTCTTTATGTACCATATTTTGTTTATGAATTCACTGTTGGATATGTAAGTACTCTCATTAACTTATTAAGCCAAGTATGCCTAAGGTGTATGAGTGCTAACCAGAAGGCTGGAAGTTCAAACCCACCAGCCACTCCTCAGAAGGAAGCCTGGGCAGTCTACTTCAGTAGAGATACCGCCTCAGAAACCCAAGGAGGGGTCGCTATGAGTTGAATTGAAAGAGGAAAAGCTTATTCTAGTTAAAGAAATTTATTTTATAAGTTAATTTAAAAAAAAAATCTCACTGCCGTCGAGTCGACTCTAAATCATAGTGAATCTCCTTGGGTTTCTGACTTAGTATCTCTACAGAAGTAAATTGCCCAGTCTTCCTTCCGAGGAGTGGCTGGCTGGTGGGTTCGAACCGCCAGCCTTCTGGTTAGCAGTCAAATGCCTTAGGCACTACTACTAGCAAGTAGCATAATCAAGAGATTATGACCCAGGGGCTTTTTTTCCTAATAGGCCTTTTTGTAGTACCATTATGTCTCATGTTAATTATGCTATATTTTATGTAGATTGAAATAAGTGAGAAACAAGGAGAATGGCATCCTTATATAGTGGATAAAATCAACCCTGAGGTTGGAATTCTTTCTCTCCCCCATGAAATGAGGTCAGAACTACATTCTAATCAGATAGGAACCAGCAGAGTGATTTAAATTGGGTTTTGACATATTCTGTATAATAATTAACTACTTCTGTAGGTGATAACAATGTGACAACACTTGGTTCTCATTAATAAGAGATAAATTCTGTCATTTTAGCTTTCTAAATTTTCTTAATATTAATAACCATTACAATATTTAAGTAGAAATAAATTTAAACTATAAAATCATCTACAGATTTATTAACAAATCACATGGACTGTGAGGCATAGCAGTATTGATGTCTCTACTTCACAAATGATAAAGAGTGTTAGGAAATACAAAAGATTGTGGGTAAAGGTGCTATATACTTCAGTAGTAATAAGTTAACAAACAAATACCAAGTCTTACATCACAAAAGGAAGAATATATGTGTATTTGTGTAGCCACCACAAACACATAGACAGTATACATTGACCAAGAACCAAACTCACTGCCATCAAGTCGATTTGACTCATAGTGACCCCTCCTTGTGTTTCCGAGGTGGTATCTTTAGGGAAATAGATGGCCTAATTTTCCTGCCAAGGAGTGGTTGGTGCATTTGAACCGCCAGCCTACTGGTTAGCAGTAGCCTTAGGCACTATGCCACCAGGGAGATTGTCAAATATTTACCACTTTTTCACTAAACATGAGCCAGGAAAAATAGCTTTAAATGGAAAGAGCGAAAATATGTAGTGCTGGATTCCAATCTGATTTACCTTTGTATTCAACTTCAGTGGCTAGTGGGAGTAGCCTGGATTTTCGGAGAATGAATAAACCTTGAATCACTTCTGAGATTTGGATTTAGTTTCTGGCCTGAGTTGTTGTTGTTATTGTTAGGTGCCCTCGAGTCATGTCTGACTCATAGCAACCCTATGCACAGCAGAACAAAACACCGCTGGGTCCTGCACCAGCTCCATGATCCTAGCAATACTTGAACCAATCATAGCAGCCACTGTATCAATCCATCTCGTTGAGGGCCTTCCCCTCTATTATTGACCCTCCACCTTAACAAGCATGACATCATTCTCCAGGGAATGGTCCCTTCGGACAACATGACCAAAGTAGGTAAGACGAAGTCTGGCCATTCTTGCTTCTAAGGAGCATTCCACCTCCACTTCCTCCAGGACAGATCGGTTCTTTTAGCAGTCCACGGTACTTTCAGCATTCTTTGCCAGCACCAACTCAAAAGCATCAATTCTTCTTCAGTCTTCCTTATTCATTGTCCAGCTCTCACATGCATACGAAGCGATTGGAAGTATCATGGCTTGTGTCAGGCGCACCTTAGTCCTCAAGGAGACATCTTTGCTCTTCAGCACTTGAAAGAGGTCTCTTGTAGCCAACTTGCCCAGTGCTATACATCGTCTAATGTCCTGAGTGCTGCTTCCAGTGGCATCGATTGTAGAACCAAGTAATGTGAAGTCTTTGACAACTTCAGTCTTTTCTCATTTATCATGATGCTGCTTATAGGTCCAGTTGTGAGGATTTTTGTTTTCTTTACATTGAGATGTAATCCATACTGCAGACTGTATTCTTCAATCTTCATCAGTAAGTGCCTCAAGTCATCCTCACTTTCAGCAAGCAAAGTTATG